ACATATAAACAAGAAACCATTGTAATTTTCCCTTATTTTTCGAATTATAGGCAATTTTGTAAAAAAATGCGACAGAGGACTGTTTTGCCACCCAGAGGACTGTTTTTTCCATCCAGAGAACAGTTTATGTCAATGTTTATATGAAGCAAAATACAATATTAATTATTAAATGTAATCAAATAAATTCTCTTCTTTATTTAATACTAAATCACATACAGAATTTAAATACTTATAAGTATTGATGATAAATCAGGAACAAATTGCGAGCTTAGCTCTCTAAGTAACAAATTAAAATAATTATAATCAAAATTAAGCTTAGGTACTAAGAATCAGCCTTGTTTACTTATCAATGCAGACTTATTTCTCAAAAACAGGTACAGGTATATTAAAATAATAAAATATTCGTTTCCCTTTTAGGGCAACATCTGGGTTTGGCAACTTCTTTATTACTTGGTCAAAGGGCACATCAGAAACATCATTTTCATCGACTCTGAATGTGTGTCCTTTGTCATCACAAATTTTTAAGAAGGTTACTGTTAGTTCGCCTTCTTCCGTGTCTATCTTATTGATTACTGCAGCATAACAATATTCAGTATTTCTTACTAGAAATTTAACCAAGACGTAATCACCGATGGTGTAATTCTGTTGGTTGATTGAACTAGGTCCAGCCAGTGCACCGTCGTCTTCGGTTTCCATTGTGGAATCCTGTGAGTTGTCCATGTTTTCACTTTCAGAGTCTGTGTAAATATCATCTACGTTAAGTTTTGTCTTGTTTTTGTACTCTAACACTCCTAAATTGAAATGCTGGCACTCGTCTTCACAAGTGCAACTTAAACTTTTCATTATGAGTTTAGCGGCCTTTGGAGCTAATTCCAGAGGACTTCTTAATATTTCAGCCTTTACTTGATGTATTTTAAGAGTGCCATTAAAGCTTTTTAAATTAACTGTTTCATTTTGAAGGCCGTCTGTCAATTCTTGGATGGCTTTATCGTCGATTGTGAACAAGGTAATTGCGGAACATCTTCGTTGAATGGCCTCTACAAATGATTCCAAGTTATCAATATCACCTCCTGTAGCGACGACGGCATCAGCGGTTCTCTTGCAGGTCGCTCCAATACCATCAGGGGCCCCTTTGCCATGGCCACTCTCTGAATAGTTCCAGGTAAACTTCTTCACATTTGAAACCTCTTGTTGAAGCCTTGATGCCAGGATGTAAAACATCGTTTTGTTTCTGTATTGAGTTACGGGTCCATCGCTGACGAAGTGAATGCTCTTTATGTTAGGTGGGAGAGTTTTAAAGATTGGCCGCAAATGTGCCCATATAGCAGCTGGTGAATGTGTGAGATTTTTGGAAACGGTACAATAAGACTTGATAGACTTTTTGGTATACACTACCACAGTATGAAGACTTAGCTGAAGTCTCGACCCTCCAAAATGAAATGCTTGTATTTCTTCACCGTATTTGGAACAATAATTTTCTGAAAAATCCATATGTATGATAGCGTCTTCGTCGGTAAGGTTTTGTTTGTATTTCTTGATAGCATTGTATTGATGGGTAATGTTTCTCTCGTGTTGATAATAGGCTTCCAAATCCTCGTGCAGCTCTTCTATTAGTTCTCGAGGGCGAACCGTGAACATTTTCTTTAGGTATTTGGTAACTGTTCGAGCATTCTTGGTCTTGGGGTCGTTGTAAGTTTGTTTCTCAGATATCCATTGTTTAAATTCAATAGGCTTGCTGTCATCAAACTCCCTGTAGTCAGGATTTTTGTCAATACAGCGTTGGCAGGTTCGTGACAAACATAGCTCGTCATAGCGATTACAACATGTCTTTTCAAGCAGTGCAGTGTGACTATTGTAAGTCAAAATTCTTCTTCTGTGCAATGCTGACAGTTTCAGATCGATGTTCGCGTGCTTAATACAGAGGCACGTGTTACGTTCGTTTACATTTGGTGTTATGACCCAGAAAGGACGTAGACGACAAAACGTTGGGTAGCTTATTTTAAAATGTTCAGCTTGAAACTTCTTGTATAAATTTCCAATGCTATCCGATAGATATCTTTTCTGTTTTTTAACCCCTTTTCTGGTCAGGCATTCTCGTTTTCCTGCGCCAAGTCTGCTGTTGTCATCATTTTCGTAGAAGGTTCGTACAGTACTTATGCAATCAGATGAAATTTTGTCTTTGCGAGTCCGAGGCTTGGGTACTAAACCCGATTGACGCGCTGACTTCTGAATAGTTTTATAAGATATGGAACTATCTTTGCTTCGCCATAACTTGTACTTGTGTATTAGTTTACCGGACACGACTTTTCTGAATATTTGTTTCTCTTTGCAGGTTTTTAAATTAGCGTAGTTTTCTTTCAGCTGGGCATTCAACACTTCACCGAATAGCGCCTTTTTGACTACTTCTCTGCGAGCTCCTGGCGAATCACACATTTCGGTCAGTTTAGTGTTAGGTGTGTCTACATTTTTCTTTGTCTTAGCTTTTTCCAAACGTTCTAATCTCTTCCTATACTTCTCGGATTTTTTTCTGTAATACTCGATCTTTTTGTCTTTATCCTTTATAATTTTGTCACGTTTCTTTCTAGCATTACGCTTTCTCGCATTACTTGCATCACTTCGTGGAGTGGTCATAGGTAGTATTGATGGAGCGACAGAACTTTGAGGAGAAGGTGAACCCTCGGATTCGGGCGTATTATCTCGTACAAAATTGTTTGTAATTTCTTTCAAAGCTTTTTTTTTTGCGCGATATGTAGCACAGTGCTTTCTCCATTCTTTAGTCACAGCTTTGTGTTCACGTCGATTCATATCTTTAACTGACTTTCTTATGCCTTTTTCCTTCTTTCTTTGGTAGTTTCGTCGTTCTTTTTCCTTCAATTGCTCTCTTTTTACAGGGTCATTCTTTAGCCGTTGATATCTTAATCTTTCTGCAATTCGTTTCTGCTCTTTTATTTCTTCTTTGGTTTTAGGTTTCTTCTTTGGTGGCATTGCGGCAATACTAAAACAATAAAACATACTTTCAATATTAAAAAAAAAACCGTAAGGGTTTAAAAACAGGTAGTTACTAGGTACGTATTATTTTATATTCCAAAATCCATAATAGAAAACAAAAGACCTGAATTAGCGTGACAGGCCAATGTAAGAAAGAAAGAGGCTATCGGCAAGCAGTAGGTTAGTGCAGACTATAAAGAATATTAATAAAATACACGGACGTCAAATAAAACAGTCCTCTGTCACATTGAACAGTCCTCTGTGTTATAAATTTCCAGAGGACTGTTGCACAGAGGACTGTTATTTTTACGTAAAAAATGTCATACCACGTATAAGTTTAAATATTAATTCATAACACAGAAACAGCTATAAATTATCACACTGAGCAATTTTTTTTGTAAAATAAATATAATTAAAACACATAAAATACCGTAAAATAGACTTACCAGAGGAATGTTTACTCAACACTACAGAGACGTGGCTCCCACACAGACGCGGAGTTGTCACTGGGAAAAATGGCGGCGACTTGTTTAGGATGGCAACCGAGCAAACTTCACACTGTTAATGTTCCATTTGACGCGAAATGTAGCCACAATAGTGTTTAATATTTTTGTGGCGCGATATTCAAATTGTGACAGAGGACTGTTCAAAAATGTATCGGACAAAATTCAAACACTAGTTTTTAGTACAAAAAAATTCTCTAAAATTATAATTGTTTTTTGTTCACATGCATTCAATATTCTTTATGTTCATAGAGTAATAAGATTTTACATTTTTAAATACAACTAATAAAAACCGAACCGAATCATACTCGATCCAGAATTAGGACATAACAGAGGACTGTTTTTAGTGGCTTTTAGACCGAATTTATGAAATGATTATGATTCTAAATATTGATTAAGCTTGGCTCCTTAAATAACAGGTTATATATTATGTGTTTTGATAAATAGAACTATGCATTAATATAGCCAAAATAAAAAAAAACATGCTTGGACCATGATTTTCCTGTTAGTAGAGAAAGGCCCACATATTACTCAAATACACAGGATATGCTTATACTTTTGTTTTTAAGGATGAAATATTAGTTATCTGTGCTGTAGATGAATTGCATATTATTAAATATAGAGAAAGAAACTTACAAATAAGACAATTTTATTACCAAAATGTAACCAACAATACAACAAATTTTACAAGTACAATATTTTCTTGAACAAAAAAAAAACGACACTTTTCGAGAAAAGTAAAACACAATCTAATATGGTCACATACAAACCAATTAAAAGCATCTCATGCGTCATAATCACAATGTGGACAAAAGAATGTATTTACTGACTTTAATTACAATTGTAATCGTAAACATGTTGATGTGATCAGGAGACATTTAATATAACATATTACAATATATTCTCAATTCATAATTTCATCTAAATTGTACCATTTTTTTTATTAAGACCTCATTCAAATATATCATTCATCAAAATTCTCACACTATAGAAAATCCGTAAATATACATAATTATTATGTATATTTATGGGTATTATAATTTACCCTCAAATATAAATGTTGGCAGTTGTATTTATTCAAACATACATTTTAACGAATCTATAGTCTACTTAATCCTTCCAATTACAAGTGAAAAGCCTCCTATAAGGCCATATAAAGATCCAAACCAGTGTCTTTAATATACCTACTTAAGTGCTATTCCTTATGCATAATATTATTTGATTGATTGAGATGTCAAGTTTGCTTAGACCTATATAATTAATTTTATAACTCATGCCTAAAATTAATAATATATATAATTAAGTCTAGAAAAGCAATTATTTATGGGTAAATTCATATTTTTTATTTACCAATGTATTATCTTTTTAACTTTTTAAAATATCATATTATTGTTTTATTTTCAATGATAACCTTGATGATTTTTTTAAATAACAGATAATATAATATACCTTGTACATGCTTCTTTACGTCATTGTTGATTAATTGGGAACCATCATTTTCTAAAATAACTAACTGCGTTGAATTTTTTCTAGCAACAATTCTAGTCTCCCTGTCATAACTGGCTGTCCCTTCTTTGTCTTTTTGCTTAACTTCTTAAACTTTTCTTGCTTCTTCTTCTTATATTCCTCCAACTTCTTTTTCTTCTCTTCCTTTGCTCGTTCTATTTCTTTTTGTTTCTCTAATTTCTCTTGTTTCACTTTGTTGAATTGTTCTTTTGCTTGTTGAAATGGATCTCTCTTGGATTTAGGTGCTGTTGTTTGTTTGTCAACGAAATCAGGATGTCTCACATATTTACCAACATCTGAATTACCATCTGGAGCATCCTCATCAAACGTCTTAGGTTTGTAAGTTCCAGCTGAGGAATCATTCTTAATTTCTTTATGATACTCACGAAGTAGTCTCTTTTTACGTTGTTCTTCCCATTGCTCTAGTTTATACTTCTTGCTATATTTCTTTAAGCGGTACACTTTTTTGTCAAAAGGTTTTTTCTCAGGTTTTTCTACAACACCAGCACGGTTTTTATCAAAATCATTTTGTCTGTTATTCTTTTGTTCCATGTTTCTACCAGTTTTCTTTTTTAGAACAAGTGAATCTTGATTCTTATCCATATTAACTCAGACCTATAAAGAAATGAAAAAGTGTGTTTGACAATGAAAAACAAAATAATTAAAATTTTAGGCATCTAGTATTTGTAAATCACTACTAGATGTTGCCATATAATAAAATATGTTGTTAATTATAAGATTGGGAATAGTGTACACATCACTATATTTATCTTATCAGAAAAATATATAAATGAAATGCATTCACATATTCCTTTATTGACAATTTTTTTTAATTATGAGCAACTCATTCATTACAAATCAAAATAAATATATATCTTTTAAGTCAAATATACTATAAACAATCACTGCAACCTGTCATTTAAACATGTTTTCTTATATACTTGGGATAGCTATAAAAAAATATATCTGGCAACCTTCACATAACATGCAAAACTTTATTTATCTATATTTAATAATAAACATAGATAAAATAACACACTTGTTCATTTCCTTAAATCAAAAGCAATATCTAAATTAGCAACACTTCTTTGGTGTAAAGATTTCCCTAGAGTTGAGAGAGTAGAGTAAAAACCTTATTCAAAGCTTAACAAAATGGTATGGTATTTTTTCCTATAGTACATAAGTTAACATTAACTATGTAATTCAGTGAACCTTAAGGGATTAATCAAAAATTCGTGGACCATAAGAGCAATTGAAAATTTAAGATACAGGTATAAGAACTTATGTTGCTCCATTAGCAATATCCTTTTCCTAAAATTGCATTAACTTCATACCTATCTTTTTCTATTCTAAAATATACTGACTATTCTGCAATCTAATCCCTAATGTGCCTGATTCACAGCAATAAATTTACCCTCTATTATGAAAGTAAGATTTAAATTACAGTTTGCTAAAAATTGTGTCTTATATGTATATGCCTACTCATCCAAGGTGTGAGTAATCATATTTGTTTGTAAAATTCTAACACCAGAGGACTTGTCTGTGCAAATTGTTAAGATTTCATTTAAAACTAAAACATATTATATAACTGTATAAATGTGTAGCAACAATTTGTTCTCTCTCAAGACCAGAACAGAGTTATTAACTTGTTTAATTCTTGTACATATTTTATTATATAGTAATTAATAGTTTTATTTTATGCTAGCTGTATATTCAGAGAAAGTTAATCTAGACTAGTCAATTTGTTTTTTTTTTAATGTTTACAGGTTTTCCGCATTTTGTACTTACTACATGGTAATTGCATTACAAAATGCAGATTAGAAGATAGATGAACTTTTTGAAGAGGAAGACTATAAACCATAGACATTCATTATTTATTACATGTAAGAACTGTGCCATACTATATATATTTATGTTTTTGTCTGTGTCTTTCACAATAAATAAACATTGATGAAACTAAAAAAGGATGAAATGGATAAAATGAATAAGGATGAAACAAAATTAATCTCATGCCAAAAAAGTACTGGTTGGGAAATACAAGCTTGTCAGATCCCAAGGTCACCTGACTAGAAACTTGAGCAGTTGAATTTATGAGGTAAGTAGTGCATTGGCGAGAACCGCACGAAAATGGAGTTTGCAAGGGATACAAAGGTCGTCTAATTTACTCCCTTGAATAACGATAGCGGTAATATCGTCACGAAATACAAATTAAAACAAATTATTTTTATAGGAATTCGTATACAGAGGCCAAAAAGGTGTTTAATATAACTAACCTAACAGAAATTTCAAGGTAAAGTGACGCGATAAAACGTAGGTATAATCAGCCTAACTGTGGACTGTGGAAACCACTTCGACAACTGCAGTTTTTAACAAGCATATGGTGGCATGCAACAAGGCAATTCGTGAACAGATATTTTAATATTACATATATTTAACAAATTATGATGAAATATACTTGTAAACTTACCAAATTAAGCCACCCACTGGGTAGGCTTTGAATTATCGGCGGAATCTTGATTGTTTAGTTGCACTTGGCACAAAAAAACTTAACCACGGTTACAGCTGTAATTTCACGGTTTTTCGTGTGAAAAACTTTACCGACCATGCCCTAATACAATTTATTAGATAATTTTCACAAGAAACGAGACCGTCGTTTCGCAAAAATGTCACGGAAGGAGCGAGAAAGGGAAGGAAACGTGCAAAGTCGCTACGCCATCTATTTGCGTCTGTCAACTCATAGCATGGACTTCGATCCGTAAAATGGAGCATGCGCAATGGTTTTCTAAGAAAAACAGTAGAAAAAAGTTAGAGTTTAGGAATATGTTTAAATATTTGTATATGCTGAGTAAAATATTTACTTCGACAACAGACTAATTTCGGTATTCATTTCAATCAAATGGAAGTAAAGAAAAATAGTTTGACGTATTTTTTTTTACGTAAGTGGGAACGTAATTTTTAATTTTGCTAATAGATAAAGTGAAGTTGGTCTAGAAAAATATTATCTTTATTTATATATTATTAAATGCAATCACTTTTTTCTTGTACGTTTACAACGCTTACTTACGTACCAATAGAGAAAGTGATTCAAGAGGCGGGTTTATATGTATAACTCATGCATATTTTAGTAGAGGCAATCTGAGAATTTCAAAGATTTGTAATGTGAAGTTGAAAAAAACTTGTTATGTTTGCTGGCTAAACCTTGCGAGATAGATCAAAAAATGTACTACCGAATTGTATGTCTTAACACGATCTACAAAAAAGTTCAAAATGGTATATGTTTGCCTCCTAAGGATAACCCACAGTAACCATTTTTATCTTTTCCATATTACAGAAAATAATGGGTTATTTACGACGCTATTTTGAACAATACAGTATTATTCCTTATCCGCGGTTTTTAGTCGGTTGGAGTCCGACATAACCACCGGTATCCGAGACCACCACTGCGATGGCCAGACCGTGGACACGGCTCTCCACACGCTGGCAGAGTGCCCGGCGTGGGTTGAGCAGAGGCGAGACCTCGTGGCGGCCATCGGAGTGGGAGTTCTCTCGCTCGATAGCCTGATTGCGGCTATCGTGCGGAGCGGGACCGGGAGAGGTTTAGAACTCTCCCGGCCCGCCAGGCCCGGGCACGGGCCAGGCAGCGCAGGCGACTCAGGCGCCGGAGGTCGCAGAACGACCTCCGTCCTCCATAAGCGCAGGCCTGGGGGTGACAGGTGAGGCCATCTGTCACCCTAGCAGAAGCAGGCTGGGGTGGCGGCGAGCGCGTTGCGAAGCGCGCTCGCTTCCAGGGAGCACAGGGAACATGGGGTTCCCACACGGGGCGGGGGTCGTCTACTCGTCTGTAGATGACCCGAGGTATGTCGGGGCACCAGGGCCTTCCTTTCTAGGGTATACCTGGTTCCCCGGCTATTAGTACCCGGCGAAGGCGTGCGGTTTTAGTCGGTTCGGGTCCGACATGCCACCGACAGGTGGTATCCGAGGGGATTTCCGCACGGAAAAAAAAAAAAAAAAAAAAAAAAAAAAAAAAAGGTGGTATCCGAGGGCCTATAAAATTTATAGTAGGTAAATATATATTTATGCTATATATATTGCATATAAAGATGTCCTTTAGCAGTCTCATCATTATAATAGTATAATTAATTACTCCACACTGACACCATATTAGTAGTATTACGAGTGCCGTGCAGGGCAGGTGCGGTATGTACCTTGAGGTTACAGTACAGTTATAAAACTAACAGAAAACCGGTGATAAAGAACCTACATCAATGCATTTCATCATGTTTTAGGCTCATGATGAAAATGTAATAAACCATATTTTTATTACTTAATTTTCCACCCCATGGAGCGAAACTTTTTCTCTTTAAATATGACCATTTGGGAAATCTTACTGCAAATCGTTTCATAAAAGACGGAGTTTAGATCTTAAGGTAACAAAAAAAATACAACCGATATCTAGTAGTAGCAGAACTATCTATCTAGTAGTACTAGAACTAATCTACCTATCTTTTTTAAAGTTGGTTAAAAAGGCTCTAACATCAGCGTGTTGCTGGACCGCTCGTCGTCGTTGTCTGTCCTAACTTTTAGATGTCGTCAAAAAGCAGGATTTATTAATTCTGATCAACTGTCTCTCCGTTGTAGAGTAAGTGAGACAGCCAGATCTTAGCCATGACAGACAGAGGCAGAAATGATCGAAGAGTTGAAAGTTCGAATGTGCTTTTGACAGTTACCAACCAATCACGTAAAATTTGTATAAAATTGACACCTTTTTTTGTCAAAGAATCTTTTATTTAAAAAATATATGTATTTAAATAAGGTTTGATCAACCCTCCCCTTGTCAAAAGACTAATGAGGTGCAAAGATTCACCTACAATAAATGTTAAGTAGAAAACGGAAAATGTGCCCATGTACCTATAGCATGTCAACGTTCATAGTATGCGGTTGGTACTAGTATTCAATTACGGACATGTCCACATCTGGGTACAATCAAGTACAGGTGTCTTTCAAAGGCAACTTAGAAACTAGCTAGGTAACAATAGTCATTTTTTCGAAAATTATAAAAATTGTCACACATCTCAGGCATGGCATGTTATTGTAATATAGGATTTAACTAAAGATCAAGATTAAATGTTTACACCTACTATTATATGCCCTCTTTATCCTACTGCGCAAGAAAGTATATTCACATAATTATGTTAGAGGGTGTGTAGGTCATGTATGGCTAGATAGAGTTGACATGTGGTATGTCATTTGAATCGTATTAATCGGGTATTATTGAAAAATAATATAGGCTATAAAACATCATACTATGTCCCTTAGAAGCAGGGTTATAACTATAAACGCAGGAGAAACACACAACAGATTTCACATCGAATCACATCAACAGCCTTTAATAGTCCACTGCTGGACATAGGCCTCTCCTTAGAAAGGAGGTTTTGGCCTACTATACCATGCTGGCATAGGGTTGGTATAGGGTTTGTGTCATGTTTTCCTTCTTTTTGCAGTGCTGGTGTCCTGCGTTGTTTTGCACCCTTAGTCGGCTCTTACGACATCCACGGGATGAATTGGGGTAGTGACATTCCGTGTTCTTAATCCGTCACTACACG